ACCATTAGATTCATCTCATGGTATATATTAATTAGTAAGAAAAATAATTATAAGAATTTTAAATATAAAAGAAAGATAAAAAATTATATTTAAGAATTGTCATGTGACAAGTTTTGAGTAGATTATAGTGTCACTTAGCGAAGTCCAATGACAAGCCTCTAGTGCAAGCCAAGTTTCATACAAGTTTTTCTCCATATTATGATTAGTTAATGGCAAGGGTTCCTCTCTAAACAAAAAACTTGCCAAAACAAAAAAAACAAAAGAGAGGACGATTCCTCTCAGTGCGTTGGACTGTTAATCCAATCCCTATGTCAGTACGTAGGACTCCTACCCATTCACGTAGGAGATTGTCGACGAATGCATGTATCAGTTTTTGGGTGGAGAAGAGAAGGTGTTTCCTTTTCTAGTGCGTTATTTTTCTTCTTTTACAAATTTTTTTATTACCGGAATTGAGTTGCAGTATTAATTCATACTCCATATCCAAAACGGGAAGAATCCGACCGATTTACTTTCTTAATTAGTAAGAAATAATCTTATATACCTATTCAAGACTGCAATAGGCTAATATAAGGGAGTGTATTCAATTAGAATTTTGAGGGATTTTAATTATTTTAATGAATCTAAGGGTATTTAATCGAGATTTGAAGTGATTCTCTAAAATTTAATATATATTCAATCAGGATTTTAAGATAGTGTAAAATTAACAAATTCTGTTTTCAATTTCATTGTTCTTTTAAGTTAACCAAACAACAAAATTCACAAATTCTAGAAAATAAAATCCCTTCATTTCAATTTTGTCATTTTAAAATTCCTTAGTAATCTTAAATTTCTTCATCCAAACATAGTGTAACTTTTCCAAATTCTTGAAATTCGAATTCTAATTGAATACACCTAGAATGTTATAAACTTTTTTAAAATTCTAATTGAATACACCCATATTTCTAAGAATTTTAATAAACTATCATAAAATCCTAATTAAATACCCATTGAATTTCAAATAATCACTTAAAATCCTGATTGAATACCCCTAGATTTATTAAAAGAATTAAAATCCCTCAACATCCCAATTGAATACACCCCCCCAAGATTTCGAGAGAATTAAATTAAAATTTTACATGAAATCTCTACAAATCAATTAGACTCCATAAAAATCCATTGAAATCTCTCAAATTCCCAATTGAATACACCCCCTAAAAGCAAGGGTTGATATAGACATATTGTCACTTCTTCTTGGAGCCTTTCATTGAGATAACTCTAGAGATTTGTTCAGTGTTGATATCTCTTTATGCTTAATTGGTTCCTTAACATCATATTGTTGTTGAGAATACGAAGGTGAAGTGATCCGATCTAGTGGTTCAAGTAGTAGCAAGAGCCGGTCATCTCTTAGAATGCATATGTCTAGTGGAATGAGAATGAGTAAGTTCCTTATGTATTACTTTTGAGGAAAAATTAGTTAAAATTATCAATTTTCAAATTGAAGTATTATCGTTGATGTTTGATTGCTATGTTGTCCATATTTGTGAGAGCGATTAGAAAATTTGTCGCTCTAAACACGTCTCCAAGAAATTGGTTCAAATTGGTGAGCAAAATGCTTAATATCTTTTGTAATAGTCTTCAATCTCCATCGATTACCAACTTAGCATCACCCCCCACAGAGACAGGCTTAAAACTTTGGTCTTGCTGACTTTGAAGCTTCCCTGAGAGCAATCCCTTTCACAATAGGGACAGTAGTACCCCTAAACTGTAGATTGATTCGATTTGAACTAGGTTGTCCCTTGATTCTTCATCTTTGTGGCCTTTTCTCTATTTCGCGTCCAGATTTTTTGTTTCTGTATTGTTGCTTGCATGAGAATTAATTAATCAGTTAAATTTTAATTTTTTTGGCTATCCGAAGTTGAATTAGTATTATAGTTGCATGATTTAATTAAAACCGGTCAATTGATTTATCTTATCTTTATATGGTCGATAGTGATATATTTCCTCCAAATATAACAAGCATTCCTATGAATATTGAAGTATATTTTTAGTTTATCTTTCTACCAAATGCTGTTAGAATATATATATTTTTTTCAATTTAAAATTTAGGTACAGTGGAAGGTCGAATCGTAACAAAACAAAAAGGTTATTTTATCTTGCACGGCAATTCTCTTTTCTGTTAGAAGCCATTACTTGCACAGGTCGCATTTGCATGGGATAGAATTCTGAATCCTTCATAGTCGCCAAATCAATTATCTTAAGACACCAACAAAGAATGAAAATTTCCGACAAAATTTTATCGTGGCCCATGTGTATGCACTCTATCCAATTTGTACACTGTAGATAACCTTGTAGGACTTTATATAAAGGGTCCTTCTGCTACCATTTTAGACACTCCAGAAGAAATCAAGTCATCTCACTGCTTTCTCTCAGTATCATTGTTCCTTCTTTCCGGACCATTATACTGACTTGTATATAAATAAAGACGTAAACAGAGTAATCATCATTTGCGTTTTACTTCAATCTCTAACAAAGATTCTCTCACTTTTATATATTTTAAACACAGAATTTTTTATTTTTTATTTTTTGCATTTACTCAGGAAAATATTTAGAAGCCAATTCGTTTGTTGGTCGAGAAGTCACTGTCACGTAACAAATCATTTAGTTATTATCATTTGTGTAAAGTTTTGGTTGTGAAGACTGAAAAGTTATGTTTTCCCTTATTTTGATTTGGTGAGCCCACAGAAGCTAACCAATGGACAGCTCCAAATTGTCCCCTCCTAGATATCTACATTCTCTCTAACTCCACCAAACCATTTTGAAACTCCCTCTCCCTCTCCCTCTCCCTCTCTTCAGTTCCCTCCCTCTCCATATTTAGTTTACCAGGAAAAACCAAATCCCAGTCTCCATTATTTCCACATTACCTTAATTTTACCATATATATTATTACTTCATAGTTCTATGATATATGTATACATATACTTTGTGAGTTGGACCAGCCTTCTAATATCCCTCTGTGTTTTCATGGCTTCTTTTGCAATTGGAGCTGCAGTAGTTCTGCTTCTACTTCCTCTTCTGCATCACCAAGTGCATGGAGGACTCGTAGGGAGCGATATCAACGACTGTGATGTTTCTAACGGAAACTGGGTTTTTGATGATTCATATCCTCTTTATGCCGCTCCCAGCTGCCCCTTCATTGAGAAGGAATTTGATTGCGTAGGGAATGGCCGCCCGGACAAAAACTACCTCAAGTATAGATGGCAACCCTTTGCCTGCAGCTTACCAAGGTACGCGACGATTTTCAATGTTATACACGCATATTGCATACATACATAGATAATATTCTCTTACCCGACTTCTTACGTGTTGTATCACGAGAGTCTCAGTTTGAATCACACATTTTCAGATAAAACTTGGTCATCCGAGCAAATAATTAGATTGCTAATGTGGGTTAACTAATTACAAAACTTATTGGTCCAAAACTTTTTGAGTTATCACCTTCTAATTTTACTTTCATGGTCTAACTATATATCCCACACTCTGTTACATGCGTGACTCTATCTATGAACTGCTCATTAGGCTGGTCCTTAATCATTTGAATGCATTTTCAGTGAAAAAAAATCCTTTATTTTTTTTAATATTTCACGAGTTTTTGCAACCTCACATCGCATTAGTAATGAGGAATCTGATTTCTGTTTCAATTTACAATGATATTTCTAAAATTGATGAGATTTTTTGAAAAGGCATTGGTCCTTATTACTTTCTATGCATTTGAATTTGTAAAATATTTTATGGTGCTCTGAAGTATTGATTATTTTGGGTTTTTTAATTTTTAGATTTTGAATTTTGTATTTTTTACCAAGGTTTTAGCTATTTAGTCCAAATAAGTTTCTAAAAACGCTTAAAAATTCTGAAATATTCGATACTCCAAATAACCTTGTCCTAGAAAAAAGAATTCATGCCTTTGATGTTTTGGTTCAGAAAACTGAAAATTAATTTTGAGTAACTTTCCATAGCTTCCAACCTCGTATATATGCTTTTGTTTCTTTTATCGTTGTTTGTGTCATCCGATATTAGCCACTCTGGACAGACTCGCAAACTTAAAGCCCATGTGAGATGTGATATGGCTTATTGTTTTGGAATTTGTTCAACTAATTTTTGCTCTGCTGTATTTTTCCTTTAAAGTTTGGATTTTTTAATGTTGTTTTCATAACACTGTTTAGTTGATTACACGTAGACATTAATTTTCCACATTTAAATATTTCTCATTAAAACAACAATATAAATAAAAGTTCTTCTACCTTTCCTTACATGTAAAAGTATTTTATTATTTTATTTTATTAATTTTAAACTTTATGATTGGGTTGATTTTTGCATCATTACAACATTTGAGATTGGTTGGTAGCATTTCGCATTAGCACTTTGGTTCCTTTCATACTTTAATACAAGTTGAAGAGCACCTCTATATGGTATTTACCCTTTTTCAACACTATGCTGTGTATATATGTGTGTGTATATATATATATATATGAGGACCATGGCCAGATGGATGGTATGTGGATATTTGCTTTTATAAGTTAAAGTCTCTGTCACAACGAGTATTTACCTTTTTTTTCAACGCTATGTTGCATATATATATATATATGTGTGTGTGTGTGTGTGTGTGTGTGTGTGAGGACAATGGCCAGATGGATGGTATGTGGATATTTGTTTTTATAAGTGAAAGTCTCTATCACGTAATTGAGAAATATACTTTGCAAAAACAATATCAAACTAGTATTTACCCTTTTTTTTTAAACGCTATGTATGTATGTATGTATATCTATATGAGGACTATGGCCTGATGGATGGTATGTGGATATTTGCTTTTATAAGTGAGTCTCTGTCACGTAATTGAGAAATATACTTTGCATAAACAATATCAAACAGTCGTTGGTCATACATTTTTCTTAATTTGAACATGAAATTAATACATCTTAAGATTGATTTCTTTGGCCATATTCTCGATAAGAGGAGATTCCAAATTTCCAAAATGGATAAATGGCACGATCGGAATTTGAATGTGCAATTCAAATTAACAATTTTGTGATAAAACAACATAAACTTACTACGAGGGAACATTTGCACAAATCACACAATTTACTTATCTTTGTAACATACTATCTACTTAATACGTTATAAAACTTTGATATTGACCTGTGTGTTCGAATTTGATGATGCAGATTCAATGGAAGTAGTTTCTTGTCGACATACACAGGGAAAAGCATCATGTTTGTCGGGGACTCGTTGAGTTTGAACCAATGGCAGTCACTTACTTGCATGCTTTACACAGCTGTTCCAGGAACCAAATACACATTGGTCAGGAAAGAAGGACTCTCTACATTCATATTCCTGGTGAGCATCTCGTACTCAAATTATAGACCTAAATTCTTATATTTGGATCCTAAAAAAGTTGTAGATTTATGTATTTTGGGTTTCATCTCCAATGCAAGGACTCAAATCCTGACACTTATTTTGAGTTTTAAGTTTTGAGTCTTTGCATCGGAGGAGAAACAATGAACTCAAAACTCAAATTTTAAGTTTTGACAATTTGGGTATGTGCACTGGAAATGATTGGAGTCAAAACTCAAACCCTAAAATTTTTCCTTGTTGGCATAGGCTCCACCAATGACCCAAATCTCCTATTGAAAGTCAAATTTAGGTCTCAATATGTTTGCCTCAAGTTTTAAGTCTTATGTGCATTGAAGATGCATTACTTCTCAAGTCTCAACTTACACCTAATTATAATCTATATATTAGATGCACAAAATGATGATCTATATATGTTTTTATTTTTCTTATAATTATTTCTATAAAAGAGAAGACTTAAACTAGGTACACCAATGTGGTTAGTAACTCAAACTAATAACACATTATATGTTTTAAAATTTTCATATAGTAACGTATTATTGGTTTGAGATATTGTTATAATGTCTCACTTAGCATAAAGAAGTAGATGATATTGTTTGGTTCAGTTTCGAAATGATCATGTTTGCTGCACTTTGCTCCTATGACAATGATTGCTTTGTGTTCCAAACTTTTTTGTTAATTCGAAATCAAGAAGTTGCCATTTATTAGTTTTACATGACAGATTTGGTTGGATTACTTACATAATGAATGCCAATTCAAAAAATTTCAGGAATACAATCTGAGTGTGTCCTTCTCCCGAAATGCCTTCATTGTCGACATTGTAGGCACACCTGATGGCCGTGTCCTCAAACTCGACTCAATCTCACCCGAAAACGAGCAACTGTGGCTGCAAAACGATGTATTGATCTTCGACTCATGGCACTGGTGGCTTCACGTCGGAAGAAAGCAACCGTAAGACGCCTATTGATTTGAAATCCACTAAATCTTTGAGTTTGCGTGTTGCGCAAGTAATTGAATGTTTGTGTTCAAATGCGTTGCAGATGGGATTTAATTCAAGCGGGGAATCAAACTTACAAGGACATGGATCGGTTGCGTGCATATGAGAAGGCGTTGACCACTTGGGCTGGATGGGTTGACTCCAAAGTGAACTCCAACAAAACCAAGGTCTTCTTCCAAGGTGTTTCTCCAGATCATAGCAAGTAAGTATTCTCAACTGCCAGTGCAAGTATGAACACGGCACGAACATGACGCACCCGAGAGAACCTGAATCACAACCCATTTCGTAGAATTGAAATATTGAGCAGAGTTTCTGATAGTTTCTAATCAAACTCAATCTTTTTGTTTGTATCAGTGCAACAGAGTGGGGTGATCCTCAAGCAATTAACTGCAATGCACAAACAGAACCACTGCCAGGCCCAGACTTTCCAGGAAAACCACATCCAGCAGAGCAAGTACTAGAGAAAGTGTTACGCACCGCGTCAAGGCCGGTCCATTTGCTGAATATTACAACTCTTTCGCAACTACGAAAGGATGCGCACCCGTCGGTCTATGGCCTCGGCGGGCACCGGGGCATGGACTGCAGCCATTGGTGTTTAGCTGGAGTTCCTGATACTTGGAATGTGCTTCTTCATGCAGCTCTTACTCAAAATTAGGCATTCTTTATATCTCAAAGAATTTTTTTTTTTTTTACCAAATTGGCGATTAATAATCATTGATTAAGCTTTTCTCAAATAAGGCTTCATTATGTTAAATCTTACGTTAGCTATTCGCTAAAAGTTTTCTTGTGCTGTGCTCTGTTTGGTTTCCTTATTTTTTTTACTTACTAAATATATTTATAATCTAAGCTACACTTGGGGGGGGGGGGGATGAGAATTTGAACACGTGAAACAATGGGCCAAAAAGGAAGATTCTAACCACTGGAGAAATTCATCATATGTTCGAAAAGTAGAGTCTAATCGCTATATATAATCACATAGAAAATTCAAGAAATAATCATGCAATTAAATATCAAATTTCATGCATACACAAGAGCAATAGGTTGTTTTTTTTTTTTTTTTTTTTTTTTTGAAAAATGCGATATTATATACACTAGGGCCTCGTTTGACAGCTTGGATTGTACTGATTATTTCTGTCGGATAGGATAAATAGCCACCGGATAGTACTGACTAAATTAGTCGGGCATTTGGTGCAGTATCGGATTAATGACCGTATTATTTATACTGTGTTTGGTACTGAACCGGATAGGACAAGAGAAAAAAAAAATTAACAAATCTTTCTTTGTTTGTTGAACTTTTCTCATATTTATACCTATTGAAAACCACACAAATTTTCAAATAACAAAGAAACATAGTAAATTCCATACATCAAATTCAAAATATTTTCCAATAACATAAAAGAAGGTTCACAAAAACAACTACAATCGTTACATTATATAATCCAACCACATATTCAAGTTCATAAAATATACAAATGCAAGTTGGTTTCAGTAAGAAACAATTTGTCCAAATAGCCAAAACATATGCATGCTGCTTTTAACAAAATATATGCATGATGCAGCTTTTAACAAAAGATATGCATGCTGCTTTTAACAAAATATATTGTTGTTGGTTTGAAATGTCAATTGCGGTTACTTTGTCCAAGTAACATGAGTACAAAAGCTTTTTTCATTGCACCATCCAAAGACAAGAATGTCCTCTCATTCTGTGGCTTTTCGAAAAGAATATTTAATGCCTTGATTTGATCCTCAATAGACAAATCCATCTTTGACAATTCTGAAGCAATCTCAGGTTTTGGATCCACTCCTTTCCCAAAAGCAGCTTGTAAAACTTCGTATAAAGATACAAGCAACTTTGGTACTAGTTTTGAGTTAAGTTTCCTGCCTTGTGTTTTGTTAATTTGATATTATTTTTTTTCCCATTCTAATTTGGCATCTGTGGTTGTCTTCACACATATATATATCCAGATAAAAATTCCAATCAACAATTCAACAACCCTAGTCCGAAATTCAACAATTCAATGCCAATCAACTACAATCGTTACAGAAAATATTTAAAACGATGAAATGAAGTATCATGTAAAAGGTCATTCTAGAAACTCAGGAAACTTTGATGAATTCAGCTACTAACCATTCTTATATCTTTCAGAAGCGGCTGGGAAGTATTGTGTGTGTCACAGCCATCTGCACACACCACCATTAATTGAATTCCAGAACATTACAACTTACTAACGTGCTCTCTATGTGCAATTGCATTATTATGAATCACGTCAGTCACCTCCACATAATACCTGAATTGGTTCCTCCGCTTAGACCAATTTTTTTTCAAGATTATCGGACAAAACCACAAATTCTAGGAAGCCAAATAACAAACAGAGACAGAATCAGGAAGCAGCAGAGGCAGGAATCTTACAACAATTATTGAAAAAATTTCTTCCTAACCAAACAAAAAATAGAGAAACAAATGAACCAACGCACCTAAAACATTGCGATTCGTTTCTGGAAAGCAACGGGAAGCACAGTCAAACCACCTTCACAAACGATCGGATCGGAATCGAAACGAAAGAGATAGAGAGATCAAAACAAAGGCAAACACAGACGGAGAGAGAGGAGAACAGAAGAGGAAAGGAAAATAACCCTATCGACCCCATCAATACCCACATCCCAAATTTCACAATTTTTATCAAAATTTGATGCAGTACGAAAACCCATCAAAATCAGGGAAGATGATGAGTTTTACCCGAGGACTCGAGCTGAGTTTTGAAAGAGAAGTCGAGGACTCGACCTGAGTTTTGAAAGAAAACTCGAGCTGGGTTCGTCATTTCTGCGAAAGAGAGCTTGTGGGTACTGCGAGAGAAAGAGTTGACGGAAGTGAATCGGTGAGAGCAAAGAGAGAAAGAAGCAAGTCGAAACATTGAGAAGGAAGAACACGCATCACCATTTTGTTCCCACATCATAGCAAACCGGCAAAGTTGAAATAACAAAAAAGAAGTAGGGGCAAAAACGGAATCACACTGTGCTTATGAACAGTGTTTCAGTTCTTTTTCTCTTTTAGTATATACAAGCATTGAAGCCCGCGCGATGCTGCGGGTTTCAAAACTGTTGTAAACGTGTAAAAAGTAAGGCATATATACGTGAGAAAATATGTGCCAGAGAGTACGCCATAGCCATAACTAGAGAGTACTATTTACATTCATATATTACATGACAAATTGGGATGGTAGTACACCATAGCTAAAGAGTACTATTTACTTTCATATATTACATGCCAAAAATGGAGGATGTTAGTATGTCATCCTCATGGATTGTTCTTTAAAAGCTATGGTCCTATTCCCGGGGAGACTAACGTTTAAAACTGTACAAAGCTCAAAAAGTAAGATTTGTTCCACTAAAGACACCCATATGCATCGTTAATGGTGTCTCCTTTGTCTTGTACGATAACGATGAACTGCAAATAATTACAAAAAACATTAAAAATAGAACTCGATCACTTAAGAATTGAATGAATCTAAATTGCATATGATTTGCAGGCACACAAAAATTAAAAAGTCAGATTGGTTCACATTTTGTATTAGCCATTCAATTCAGTAGCCATTCAAATCAGTACACACCTAAAAAAAACATAAGCAAAAAACAATTTCTCATTCCTCAATTTCTCTGAAATCAAATAAAAAAACTCATTGACACCAAGCTAGTGCATGGTAATAGGATCCCCAACAAAATTATCATAAGCAGCAGTTACGGACACTTTGCATATATAAATCAAAACCCATCTTATCATTCATTACCGCTTTTTTAGGTCATAAAAAGCCAGAGGAGAAAGGAAGCAGTAGGCAACGCAAATGAACTCTATCTCTAGATTTTCCTATTGATTATGCGATATTTATAAGATATAGTTCCGTGTTAGAGAGACTGCTCATTCAAGATGGGAAAACAATTTGTTAAGAAAATTGATTTATGACTGTTGGGATCCATACTTTATTCATTGGGAGTTTGATCTGGGCTTGCTACATTCTCGTCATCGGTCTCTTCAAATGCATAGGTCTCTTCCCTGTATCCACTTGTGGTATCACTTGGATCATATAAAATAGAGAGAGATTAAAGTATCAATGCACATCTAGTAATGGAAAAAAGGTTTATCTCAATTAATTTTTTTTTTTATAAAGACTAACCTTTTAGGTTTTTTTGTTGGTGTAGAGGTGAAAAGAGTCTTTCTGTTTGGCTCTCTTTGTCGTTTCTTTGAACTTGAGCTGCTCTCTGTTGGAGATGAAGGTAGAGATTTCTTGACTGAGAGTGGTGGTGTAGACGGTAGCATTTCATTAACCATATGTTTTTTCCCAAGATTACTTATTGTTTCATCACCCTTGTTGTTGTTTGAAGGATGAATTTGTGCATGATCCTCGAAAACATATTGGATGAACAAATTTAAGGAAAACATCCATTCTAAATATGAAACGAAAGCACATACGTCAAGTCAATGTTCTTACTATATTGATATAATCCAATGATGCATCAAATATAAAAATCAAATCATACCTCTACTTTGTAACGTTTTGATTTTGTTTTATCTGCAGCTAAACCAAAATTTCGACGGTTCCCAGTATAATTATGTGAAAAACCAAATAGCAACACCATGTAAAAGTCATATTGGGTGTCCACACCCACACCTATCAATTTACAAATAAATTTGAACTTTGAATTACTTGGGTTTCAAAAATATTTGCACAAAAATTTGAAAAAGATGAATAAATTAAAACAAAGTAATATCTACTGGCAATTGAGACTGACCCAAACCTGTTATCAACCTCTGTGCAGAATCGACAAAGTCTAGAACAACCTGGAAATTTACAAAAGTCAAATTTACAGCCAAAGGAGCAATTATTTACTGAATTATAAAGAAAAATCTTCACAAAATAGTGTCTAATTTTACAAATAAATGAAACCCAAATTAAATTTCTTGATAAAAACTAAAAGCTTGAAAGATTAACTGATTAAAAAAAACCGCATGAATCCTACTATAAAAAAGATGTAAACTTTTGCATTGGCAAACAATTCATAATCTAAAAATGATATCTTAAACAGAACACATTAATCCAAGTCAAAAGTTCCCAAATTTAAATCAACCAATACGAAAAAAATATAAAACATGGTTCATTGTTTCTCTTTGCATTTTAAATCACATGGTGTTTCCCAATATACTATTGTCTTAACATTTCTTATACTCATGCATTAGATAAAAAATGATACAACAACAACAACAACAACAACAAAGCCTTTTCCCACTAAGTGGGGTCGGCTATATGAATCCTAGAACGCCATTGCGCTCGGTTTTGTGTCATGTCCTCCGTTAGATCCAAGTACTCTAAGTCTTTTCTTAGGGTCTCTTCCAAAGTTTTCCTAGGTCTTCCTCTACCCCTTAGGCCCCGAACCTCTGGTCCGTAGTCACATCTTCGAACCGGAGCGTCAGTAGGCCTTCTTTGCACATGTCCAAACCACCGTAACCGATTTTCTCTCATCTTTCCTTCAACTTCGGCTACTCCTACTTTACCTCGGATATCCTCATTCACAATCTTCTCCTTTCTCGTGTGCCCACACATCCCACGAAACATCCCACGAAGCATCCTTATCTCCGCTACACCCATTTTGTGTACGTGTTGATGCTTCACTGCCCAACATTCTGTGCCATACAACATCGCTGGCCTTATTGCCGTCCTATAAAATTTTCCCTTGAGCTTCAGTGACTTACGACGATCACACAACACGCCGGATGCACTCTTACACTTCATCCATCCAGCTTGTACTCTATGGTTGAGATCTCTATCTAATTCTCCGTTCTCTTGCAAGATAGATCCTAGGTAGCGAAAACGGTCGCTTTTTGTGATCGTCGCTAGATTGCTCCGGTCATTAGTGTGGATAAGTATATAAATGGATAGAGATAGGAAAGCAAACACCAGATGTACGTGGTTCACCCATATTGGCTACGTCCATGAAATAGAGGAGTTCTCATTAATTGTGAAGGGTTTACACAAGTACATAGGTTCAAGCTCTCTTTTAGTGAGTACAAGTGAATGATTTAGTTATCTGTCTCGTAGGTAGATGTGGCATCTTCTCTGGAAGTACTCTTCCTCCATCCAGGGGTGGTATCTTTAACTGGTGGAGATGCACAAGGTAATGTATCAATTTCACTTGAAGCTTACTTGTAGTTTCAGGCTTGGTCAAGCGCGATACAAACCATGTAGTAGGAGTCCCCAAGTCGCCGAGCTAGGGGGTCTGCTGAAAGAGGTGACAGACAAGGTAAGCAATCAGGGCTCCAAGCAATCAGTCCCAGATCAGAACTTTGATTTCGAGTTCCGGCTGATTGTTCATATTCTCCCTATCTTGCAGGCAGCATGAAGGATAAAGAGAAGAAAAATGAGAAGAGATGATATGAGATACTTTTGCTTTTGAAGAAGTAACTTTCCACAGGCTTATTCTTGAACTGGGCTGGAGGGTTTTCTGGTTTCCTCCAGAGTATAAGGCCGACTGAAGAATTTGAGGGTCAAAACAAGTCCATCAAATCTAGAGTACGTTCGACCCTGCTGATATGGGATACTTTTGCTTTTGACAGAAGTAGTGGATGTATCGGCACGTGTGCTGTTACGCTTGTCTCCACATGCTTCCTTGTATCCTTCTCACTTGCCCTATCTGTTCCTCAGGCAGATGCGGTATCTTCCCTGGAAGCATAAGATGTTGAAGATGAGTACTCGAGAGCAATGCCAGGTAAGTAATCAGGTAAGGGGTTCCAGGCAGTCAGTTCCTGACTTGGAAGCTTGATTCCAAGTGCTGACTGATTGCTCTCTTTCTCCTTGTCTTGCAGGTAAGAACAAGGCCAAAGGAAAAGACAGGGAAAAAGCATGATATGGGATACTCTTGCTTTTAACCCTGATGATATGAGATATTCTTGCTCTAGGTGTAGCTTGTTTGCAGAGGTATTATCGGGGGGAAAGAAAGCTGAGTATTTCGAGAGGCTTCGTTGGGAGTGCCCTCTCAGATATGAGGAAGGGTTGAGCATTTTTGCAGGTCTGCCTGTCCGTTGAGGATGGAGGTCGACATATATAGGAGTCTCCCTAACAACAAGTAGTAATGCTATTCCTTTACCCTGCTTGGTCATAGCACGGTAGTGGGAGCTGCCAGCTTCACGTGTTTTAACTCTTGTCAGAGCACTTTGAAAAAGTGGTCTGTGGTATCTGGAAGCTGATGTTGCGTGTGAAGATTACAGACAAGTTTTATCCAAGGAGATCTGGCTCTCGAAGTTGGGAAAGTGGTGCCTCTTCGGTTTTCGAACAAGCAATCCTGTCGGGATCTGGCTCTCGAGATTCGGAGAACGGTGCCTTTTTTCGATTTTTGAGAAAGCAATCCTGCTAGGGGTCTGGCTCTCGAGATTCGGAGAGCGGTGTCTCTTCGATTTTTGAGAAAGTAATCATGTTGGGAGTCTGGCTCTCGAGATTCGGAGGGCGGTGCCTCTTCGATTTTGGAGCAAGCAATCTTGTTGGGAGTGTTTTCTCGAATGTGAGTAAAGGTTGGGCATGTTTGCTAGTCTACCTTGCCACGAAGCACAGAGGTTGACACACAGGGACTTTCCAATTATCCAGCAGTGGTGCTGTTCCTTTACCCTTGTGCGTAATAATATGGTAGCTAGACTTTCAAAATTTATGTGTCTAAACTTTGTTAGTGCTGTTTCTTTGCTATTCTTTTACCCTTCTTGGTCAGAGCGATGTAGTGGGAGCTGCAAGCTTCACGTGTCTCAAACTTTGTCAGAGATCTTTGGCAAAGTTATCTGTGGTACCCATGAGCTAATGTTGCGTGTGGAAAGTGGGTGATTGAACAGTAAGATTCACGTGCTTTCTACTTCACCAGAAATCTTCGACAGAATGCCCGTAATTTCCGCAAAGCTGACAGGTGCTGACAAGGCTGAAAAAGCAGGTGCCTCTTCGATTTCTGAGATCGGCCCTCGTGGTCTCTGAGCAGCCCAGCTTTTGAGAAAGCAAGCGCCTCTTCGATTTCTGAGATCGGCCTTCGTGGTCTTTGAGCAGCCCAGCTTTTTGAGAAAGCAAACGTCTCGTGAGTCGTTCTCTGAGCAGCCCAGCTTTTGAGAAAGCAAACGCCTCTTCGATTTCTGAAGCTCCGTCGAGTGCAGATTTTTATAGAGGCTGGCATTAAGTTCCAAAGCACACTTGAATCTCCACCAGTAGAAGCTCCATTCTTGCACTTCTAAGATCTTGATTTGTCCGACCTCTTCTCTCTTCAACACCTTTGAAAATGTCTGGCCCCTCCGACCGTCGTTTTGACTTGAACCTTGTTGAAGAGGCAGCCACGCCTTCTCCAGACAACATATGGCGCCCATCCTTCGTCTCCCCCCTACTGGTCCTCTTACCGTTGGGGATTCCGTGATGAAGAATGATATGACCGCTGCGGTGGTGGCCAGGAACCTTCTCACTCCCAAAGATAACAGACTACTTTCCAAACGGTCTGATGAGTTGGCTGTTAAGGATTCTCTGGCTCTCAGTGTTCAGTGTGCAGGTTCTGTGTCTAATATGGCCCAACGCCTATTTGCTCGAACCCGCCAAGTTGAATCATTGGCGGCTGAAGTGATGAGTCTCAAACAGGAGATTAGAGGGCTCAAGCATGAGAATAAACAGTTGCACCGGCTCGCACATGACTATGCTACAAACATGAAGAGGAAGCTTGACCAGATGAAGGAATCTGATGGTCAGGTTTTACTTGATCATCAGAGGTTTTGTGGGTTTGTTCCAAAGGCATTTATTGCCTTCGTCTTCTGGGGCTGTACCGCGTAATGAAGCTCCAAATGATCAACCTCTGATGCCTCCTCCTTCTAGGGTTTTGTCCAGTACTGAGGCTCCGAATGATCCCCCTCCGGTGCCTTCTCTTTCTGGGGCTCTACCGACTGCTGAGACTTCTCCTAAGCAACCTTTGTGAAGGCTCCCTCTTGTTTGTTTATTTTGACTCATGTATATGTACATATTTGTGAACTTATCGGGATATCAATAAATAAGCTTTGCTTCATTTCAACGTATTGTGTTAAATACACCAAAGCCTTCTTCACTAAGTTCTTTGAATTTTTCTTTTGTTGAAGCTTGTATGTTGAAGCTTTGTGAGTGGAGCATGTAGGTTGAGGTAGTGTTCCCTTAATTTCCCGAGTGAGGAAAACTTCTCGGTTGGAGACTTGGAAAAATCCAAGTCACTGAGTGGGATCGGCTATATGAATCTTAGAACGCCATTGTGCTCGGTCCTGTGTCATGTCCTCCGTTAGATCCAAGTACTCTAAGTCTTTTCTTAGAGTCTCTTCCAAAGTTTTCCTAGGTCTTCCTCTACCCCTTCGGCCCTGAACCTCTGTCCCATAGTCGCATCTTCTAATCGGAGCGTCAGTAGGCCTTCTTTGCACATGTCCAAACCACCGTAACCGATTTTCTCTCATCTTTCCTTCAATTTCGGCTACTCCTACTTTACCCCGGATATCCTCATTCCTAATCTTATCCTTTCTCGTGTGCCCACACATCCAACGAAGCATCCTCATCTCCGCTACACCCATTTTGTGTACGTGTTGATGCTTCACCGCCCAACATTCTGTGCCATACAGCATCGCCGGCCTTATTGCCGTCCTATAAAATTTTCCCTTGAGCTTCAGTGGCATACGGCGGTCACACAACACGCCGGATGCACTCTTCCACTTCATCCATCCAGCTTGTATTCTATGGTTGAGATCTCCATCTAATTCTCCGTTCTTTTGCAAGATAGATCCTAGGTAACGAAAACGGTCGCTCTTTGGTATTTCTTGATCTCCGATCCTCACCCTAACTCGTTTTTGGCCTCCATTTGCACTGAACTTGCACTCCATATATTCTGTCTTTGATCGGCTTAGGCGAAGACCTTTAGATTCCAACACTTCTCTCCAAAGGTTAAGCTTTGCATTTACCCCTTCCTGAGTTTCATCTATCAACACTATATCGTCTGCGAAAAGCATACACCAAGGAATATCATCTTGAATATGTCCTGTTAACTCATCCATTACCAACGCAAAAAGGTAAGGACTTAAGGATGAGCCTTGATGTAATCCTACAGTTATGGGAAAGCTTTCGGTTTGTCCTTCATGAGTTCTTACGGCAGTCTTTGCTCCTTCATACATATCCTTTATAGCTTGGATATATGCTACTCGTACTCCTTTCTTCTCTAAAATCCTCCAAAGAATGTCTCTTGGGACCCTATCATACGCTTTTTCCAAATCTATAAAGACCATGTGTAAATCCTTTTTTCCCATCTCTATATCTTTCCATCAATCTTCGTAAGAGATAGATTGCCTCCATGGTTGAGCGCCCTGGCATGAACCCGAATTGGTTGTCCGAAACCCGTGTCTCTTGCCTCAATCTATGCTCAATGACTCTCTCCCAGAGCTTCATTGTATGACTCATTAGCTTAATACCCCTATATAGTTCATGCAATTTTGTACGTCGCCCTTATTCTTGTAGATAGGCACCAAAGTGCTCGTTCGCCACTCATTTGGCATCTTCTTCGTTTTCAAAATCCTATTGAAAAGGTCAGTGAGCCATGTTATACCTGTCTCTCCCAAAACTTTCCACACTTCGATTGGTATATCGTCTGGGCCTACTGCTTTTCTATGCTTCATCTTCTTCAAAGCTACAACCACTTCTTCCTTCCGGATTCGACGATAAAAAAGAGTAGTTTCTACACTCTTCTGAGTTACTCAACTCCCCTAAAGAAGCACTCCTTTCATGTCCTTCATTGAAAAGATTATGAAAATAACCTCTCCATCTGTCTTTAACCGCGTTCTCTGTAGCAAGAACCTTTCCATCCTCATCCTTGATGCACCTCACTTGGTTTAGGTCCCTTGTCTTCTTTTCCCTTGCTCTAGCTAGTTTATAGATATCCAACTCTCCTTCTTTGGTATCTAGTCGCTTATACATATCGTCATAAGCCGCTAACTTAGCTTCTCTCACAGCTTTCTTCGCCTCTTGCTTCGCTTTTCTATACCTTTCACCATTTTCATCGGTCCTATCCTTGTATAAGGCTTTACAACATTCCTTCTTAGCCTTCACCTTTGTTTGTACCTCCTCATTCCACCACCAAGATTCCTTTTGGTGTGGGGCAAAGCCCTTGGACTCTCTCTAATACCTCTTTTGCTACTTTTCGGATACAACTAGCCATGGAATCCCACATTTGGCTAGCTTCCCCCTCTCTATCCCACACACACTGGGTGATTACTTTCTCTTTGAAAATGACTTGTTTTTCTTCTTTTAGATTCCACCATCTAGTCCTTGGGCACTTCCAAGTCTTGTTCTTTTTTCTCACTCTTTTGATATGTACATCCATCACCAACAAGCGATGTTGATTAGCCACGCTCTCTCCTGGTATAACTTTGCAATCCTTTACAAGTTATACGATCCCCTTTCCTCATTAGAAAAAAAATCTATTTGTGTTTTTTTGACGACCCACTCTTGTAGGTGATCACATGTTCTTCTCTCTTCTTAAAGAAGGTGTTGGCTAAGAAGAGATCATATGCCATTGCAAAATCCAAGATAGCTTCCCCATCCTCGTTTCTCTCCCCAAAACCATGGCCACCATGAAAACCTCCATAGTTGCCTGTCTCCCTGCCCACGTGTCCATTTAAATCTCCTCCTATAAATAACTTCTCCGTCTGAGCAATTCCTTGCACCAAGTCTCCAAGGTCTTCCCAAAATTTCTCCTTCGAACTCATATCCAACCCTACTTGAGGTGCGTACGCACTAATCACATTGATAAGTTCTTGTCCTATTACAATCTTGATTGCCATGATTCTATCTCCTACCCTCTTGACATCTACAACATCTTGTGTCAAGGTCTTGTCCACGATGATGCCAACACCGTTTCTCGTTCTATTTGTGCCCGAGTACCAAAGTTTAAACCCTGAGTTTTCTAGATCCTTTGCCTTAAGACCAACCCACTTAGTTTCTTGTAGGCACATAATATTTATCCTTCTCCTCACCATAACTTCCACTACTTCCATAGATTTTCCCGTTAAGGTTCCTATATTCCACGTTCCTAAACGCATTCTACTCTCCTGAGCTCTACCTTTCTGTCCTAGCTTCTTCACCCTCCCCTGTCCAATGGAATCAAAGTACTTCTTTTGTGTGTCCCGTGTAAAGTTGATAGGTGCATATGCTCCCAAACAACTTTGAGTGGAGTCGTTCGAAAAGAAGTTTCTATGGCCCCCTTGCTCATTTAACACTGCATCCGGGTGCCTATGGAAATACAGCGACCCTTGCTCACTTATCACTGTGCTCGGGCCACACAGCGCGCCACTTACGGGTGACGCCCTAGCTTTAGCGCGATTTCGTTCTGAATTCATTTTCATAAGGATTCGACGTGACTGTGGAGTGCCGGCTGTCGACTACCTGACGCCCTCCCCCTCCTCCTTTACCCGGCCTTGGGACCGGCCATGTAAGATAAACTTACATAGGCGGAGTTATTAGATAAAAAATGATACCATGCTAAAATTACATCGATTGCTTTATCTGTAATCTATAGTATAATTAATTGGTTTGGAAAGATGGAGAAGAAGGTGAATGCTACCTTGTTTTGTTTTCTGGTGAAAGATAGCTAGCTGGTTCATCTGCAGCTGACTGTAATCAGTGACATTGATGCATCAAGACTAAAGCAAATAATATGGTCAAAATAATATGATAACTAAAAAACATTGGTATTTCAAAATCTCTAAGCTAACATCCAGTACTCAGGTACCAAATGTATAGTGAGAAAGCTGGACATCATAAAAGATATTCATCTTGGGGTTTTGCTTAATACAGGTAGATGTGAATTTGGTTAGTAATTAGTTCTTGAGAAAATTACTAATCTTTAATTAATTGGTAGTTTTATTCCTACTTAACAAACCAATTTGAATGGCTTAAAACTCAAAAATTGTGAAATTTTATAGAAAAGTTTCGGCCAAACCTTGTTTCAAAAACATTGCTCTGTTCTTCCTCAGGCTACGGAACAACTCCTCCACCAAAATTGATTTACAGAATCTGTTTCAAGCCTAATCATTATGAGTCTTGCAACTATGTCCAGCATAAATAAATTTTTACGAAAAACGCTTCGAAATAACTTACCCAATCAGTTGCCCCACAAATAACAAATCCCGCCATTGCAGAAGAGTACCATTCATTCATGATCATCCTGCATACCAGTTCCAAATTCTCAAACTTCAAAACTAAAACAAAAATAATACCTAACAAAATTGAAGCATATCTTGACATGCAAAAGGTCAAAAGGTACCTGAAGTGATGAGCAATGGTTTGACATACTTTTTTTTCTTCACCTCTTTGTAAGTTGCTCTTTGCATAAACTACAGCAATTAAAAAAATAAAAATAAAAACCCATCCCGTTAAATTTATCTGAATATTTAATCACAGGTGCACCAGAAAATTATAAAACTTAAAATTAAAAAACCCCAAGATGAATTTAAGCAAAACCCATATCAGATTCTAGGTGGGTTTATGAAAAATAGTATTAATCAGATATCAACACAGTAAATAAATAAATAAATAAATTGAAATTTTCCTACCTTTAAGTTTCAAGGTTTTACTTTAGAATCCAAGGAAACCCCAAATCAGATTCTAAGTGGGTTTATCAAAAATAATAATCTAATAAGAAAGTAACATTGAAAGTAAATAAGAAACCGAAAACAAAATTGAATTTTCTTACCTTTAGTTTCTGGGTTTACACTGTGGAATCCAATTGAGAACTGAAGGATGAGACTGGTGATGGTTTTCGGTGTTTCTGGGTTCGTGGGTGCTGAGTGGGAAGAGAGAGCGAGAGAAAGAATGACGTTCACTTAAGAGGAAAAAGAAGATAAAAATGGACGGACTGATTTCTTATCACAGTGCCCCAAATAAATGGACAGTCCAGATTCAATTAGATTTACATCGGAGTAATATATTGAAATTACACAATTAAGGCAGGGGCATTTTCGAAATTACACTGTTCTTATGAATAGTAAAACAGTTTGTTTTCAGCTTTAGTATAGATTGAATATAATATAATTTACTGGTCTAGCTAGGGTTTTTTTTTTTTTTTTTTTTTTTTACAATTTTTGGTGTTCATTGTATGTGAAATTAACATTTCTTTTAACCTAGTTGACCGAATAGGATAATGCAGAACATGGAGGATGAGTACATGAATTAATATGAGAGGAAACTTTTTTTTTTTATAAGAGTTACAGTAAAACTTTGTGTACAATTCATGTAACATTGCTAAAATAAGTTTTTTATTTGGTTTTGCATGATTATTCTATTATTTTGGGATCCTTTCTTAATTTTAAAAATGATTCGCTTTCTTTTTACTTTGGCAGTTTTCTTAGTCCTTTTCAATTTTTAGTGGTTTAAATTACTAATTTCAATTGTATTTGTTTACACACAAAAAATCAAAACACAATGATTCCAAACTATAGCCTAATCGTATTATTCTCCACTATTAAATTGGCAAGTTCGGTTTTCTCTAAATAACGAATGTAATATGGGATCCACATCTGTGCTGACGTGCTGCCACATTTGTGACACGTGGCAAAAAAAAGTAATCTTTATGCATTTAAAATATAATATTATTTACCCTATTTTAAAAAAAAACAAAAACAACCAAAACAAGCCAGAACCCACCCCCCCCGGGCAACCCACTTCTCCATCTCCTTAATATAAACAAATACAAATTTCAATTCATAATTTTTAATTTAAAAAAATATAGTAACTTAGACTATTACATTAATGTCAGGAACTTCGATCAAAGCTAAAAACAGATAAGGTTTCAGTCAAAGAATATTGATAGCTAGGGACCACATCCAAAGTGTCATATATATGTGGATAATGGAGATTACACAAAACTCTCTCCCAGTCCTTTCCATCCACCCAATCATAACAAAATCCAAATCTTTAAATTCCATTTCTTGGAGTACATTTCATCTCTAATCCACAAAATCTCCTGCCAAAAAGAAGAAACATGTAATTTCACACGTATATACATACATGCATTCTCACCCCCTAGCTAGTCACATACATTGTGAGACTCTCCAACCTCCTCCTCCTCCTCTCTCTATCTCTCTCTCTCTCTCTCTCTCTCTCTCTCTCTCTCTCTCTCTCTCATGGATAATTTTGCCATTGGCACATTTATTATGGTGCTCTCTATTCTGCACCATCATGTACGCGGAAGTCGCCAGTACTCTAGTGAAGGATGTGATATTTTCCAAGGAAGATGGGTTTATGATGAATCATATCCCCTTTATACATCATCACAATGCTCCTTCATCGAGAAGGAATTCGATTGCCTACAAAATGGTCGTTCCGACAAATTCTATCTCAAATTCCGATGGCAGCCTACTCACTGCAACTTAACAAGGTAAATATATGCAAGTGGTAGATTGCTTTGGTGATTAGAGTCTTCCTCTTCAACTCACTACGTTCAAGTCCAAAACCTCCCCCTCCCTTGGTATCAATTGCTAGATACCTTTGCTGTATGCTTTCTTCAACTTTTAGTTTCAGAAATTATAAATACTTTAATTCTTTAATTCTTTTTTTTTTAATACTGGTGTATATATAGGTTCAACAGTGAAGATTTCTTGCAGAGATTTAGAGGGAAAAGCATCATGTTTGTTGGAGACTCATTGAGTTTGAACCAGTGGCAGTCACTCACTTGTATGCTTCATACAGCGAATCCACAGACTCAATATAACCTGTACAGGACTGGCGGTCTATCCACATTCGCATTCCCAGTGAGACCATTGATACCTATATATATTTTACCTTCTTTTTAATTGTTAATGCATTTCTTATATTAGTTGTCCTACTGTTGCACTGTATTTTAACCCTAGGTCTAGGGAAATAATGTTTGTTGGTTTTTGTCCTCTGATTCACAGGTGATTTATTCAATCATGTGGCTATAAACAAAACAAGAAAATAAGATAAAAAGGAAGTGCATAATCTTTTTCCTTCACAGTAATGCATAATTTTTTATTGGAATACTTTGAATACAGTCCCTAACTACCAATGTTCTTTCACTGAACCTTTGTGGTTTTTAGTTTTTTATCGAAGTCCCTTACATTAACATTAATGTAATTATGTATTTCTATGTAGGTTATTATATTTTTAAATTAAAAATAAAATTTATAGTTATTTATATTAATCAGATTTTAAATAGAACTCATAATTTATAGGATTAAAAATATTAAAGATGAATTATACTCTCCAATATATTGTGTGTATATATATACATACATGGGTACGTTCATCAAAACTAACCAAAAAATTATTGTACCAAAATATGGGTACATTTTTTTGAGAACATAAAATAAAAATATTAGGCTTAATAACATTATTAAATTTCTTTTATTAAACTTTTGACATGGCCGCATTCTCAAATCAACGAAATAGAATGTACCCATATAAATTTAAAAAATAGATTAGAGAAAAGATTGAATATGAATTTTAAATAAAAACTGGGTACATTTTATATTAAAAAAAAGGTACATTTTTAATATAACAAATTGTTATATTTAAGAATGGGTACATATAAGATTAAAAAATTGAATTTTTTTGGGTAGATTACATAAAACTACCTCAACTATTGGTCCAATTACAATTTCATATCTCATCTTTAAAAAATGTCAATGTCATACCTCATCTTACGAATTTGTTACAATTTCATACATTCTGCCAATTTTTCTGTCAATTCTTCCATTAAATAGTAACGTGGCTTGAGACGGAACCCACTTTCAATTCCAACTAGATTAAAAAATTAACTAAATATTAAAAAATTAAAAACAAACAACAAACAACAAACCCACACTCAGATCCATATCCTTCCCCCTCGCAACTCCTGCCCTCTCTTCCTCCATCTCCACCTCCGCGCTCCTCCCCCTCCCCCTCCTACACACCCATCACCCTCTCCATGTATGCCCACTCTCATTCCCCGTCATCGTCGTTCGTACGATTCGTGAACCCTACCACACACCCATTGCCGACAAAGCCTTCTCACCAAATCGCCTTCCATTCCTTCGATTCTCACTGACAACGGCCTGGTCGTTATTGTTCTTGCTGTTGCAGAACTAATTCTTCACCAAAATCAAACGGCATGGAGATCTGGGGCGGTTCACGAATCGTACGGATGACGATGATGGGGAAGGAGAGTGGGCATACATGGAGAGGGTGATGGGTATGTATGAGGGGGAGGGGGAGGAGCACAGAGGTGGAGATGGAGGAAGAGAGAGCGGGAGTTGCAGAGAGGTGAGGGGGAAGGAAGGGGATCTGGGAGTGGGTTTGTTGTTGTTGTTTTTTTTTTTTAATTTTTTATAATATTTAGTTAATTTTTTAATCTAGTTGGAATTGAAATTGGGCCTGTCACTATTTAATGGAAGAATTGACAGACAAACTAACGGAAAATATGAAATTGTAACAAATTCGTAAGATGAGGTATGACATTGACATTTTTTAAAGATGAGGTATGAAATTATGACTGGTCTAATAGTTGAGGTAGTTTTCTGTAATTTACCCAATTTTTTTTATAAAAATTTAATGGGTACAAACTTATTCTAATTTTATTTTTTATATTTTGGAAATGTTTGAATTGAAAATTAATTAGGAGTTTAATAAGAGTATGAGTATTAAAACTCTAAATCAATTACTAATTTTCATTATAAAAAATTATGTAACTTACATGTAATTTATTAATATATTAATGCTAGGGACTTTGATCAAAATCTAAAAACTAATAAGATCTTAATAAATAAACATTAAAAACTAAGAACCGAATACTGCTTTTTCCTTTTTTATTTTTATTTTTGGATCTCATATAAGTATATTACTGTAGATGTAGTGGGTCCTCCTAACTATAAAAATAGTAGAAAAGATGACAATTATGCTGTAATGATGCATGCATTACTCTACCAGCAATTATTTTGGAAATTAGGTAAGCTTAATGCATGTGAACTGTAAAGAGCAACCGCTAGGATGGAATATTAATCATAGATTTCTTTAATTAGAGATTCCTTGGTTTCAAATCTCTTCCCTAAAATATAGCCTATCAGCATCAAAACTTGACAAACAAGATATAAAAAAAGTGAGACCACCTATAAATCTCTAGCTACCAGAATAATATTACGTTCATTAAATTTGTTTAGTACATGACGACTCAGGCCTCCTTGGATATAGATAAGGATTTG